CTATCATATCAGTGATGGCAATAACAGTGACAACAACACATCTAACATATCAGTGATGACAATAACAGTGACAACAACACATCTAACATATCAGTGATGACAATAATGGTGACAAAAACACATCTAACATATAAGTTATGACAATAACGGTGACAACAACACATCTAACATATCAGTGATGACAATAACGGTGACAACAACACATCTAACATATCAGTGATGACAATAACGGTGACAAAAACACATCTAACATATAAGTTATGACAATAACGGTGACAACAACACATTTAACATATCAGTGATGACAATAACGGTGACAACAACACATCTAACATATAAGTTATGACAATAACGGTGACAACAACACATCTAACATATCAGTGATGACAAAAACGGTGACAACAACACATCTAACATATAAGTTATGACAATAACGGTGACAACAACACATCTAACATATCAGTGATGACAAAAACGGTGACAACAACACATCTAACATATAAGTGATGACAATAACGGTGACAACAACACATCTAACATAAAAGTGATGACAATAACAGTGACAACAACGCATTTAACATATCAGTGATGACAATAATGGTGACAACAACACATCTAACATATAAGTGATGATAATGATGGTGACAACATAAGTGATGACAATAACGGTGACAACAACACATCTAACATATAATCCCAACCTTAGCAGTCTGCCGCTCTCTGTCACAGACACTCTCCATCTCAGCCTTGACCCTGTGAACTTCCTGGTCCCGGGCGTGTAACCTTTCCTTCAGTTTGGAGATCTCTGACTCATGCTCCTGTGTAATCCATGAAACACAAACAGTAAGTATGTAACAATCCAATCAAGCCAAGCTTCCATGTAAAAATCTAGTGGTCTAACTGTGGTTGACTTGAATCAATACGGGCGGATCTTGCTAGTCACACTCACCATCATATGTGTATAGAGGTGATTGTGCATGTGTGTGTCTGTGTATGTGTGTGTGTGAATTTGAGTGCATGTATGTGTACCCATTAGTGTGGGTGCTTGTTTGTGTCTTAACAGCATGAGTGCATGTATGTATTTGTCAGAAGCTGTATGTATGAGTTCATGTGTATGTATGTGTGTACATGTATGGGTGTGCTTGCGGCTGTGTACCCCAAACTTCAACCCCCCCACCCCCCACCCCCCCCCCCCCCCACAAACTTTAAACACCCCATCCCAGAAAAAATATGATTAAAAAAAGAAAACAAAAAGAAAAATCCTAGGCACTATTAACACAAATTTGGAGAAAAACATCCAAAAAATATATAAAAAAAAATGTCAAAAACCTCTAAATAATAAATCCAAGTGTCTGATTAAATAAAAGGAAATCAAACTGTCAACAACTGGTAGTTTAGTATCCCCCAAAAAAAATATTGAGGCTGACACTGGTTTTTAAAAAAATGATATTGGCTATTTTAGGTCTGCTGTTATGTCTGTTGTTATGTCTGTTGTAAGGTCTGTTGTTATGTCTGTTGTTAGGTCTGTTGTTAGGTCTGTTGTTATGTCTGTTGTAAGGTCTGTTGTTAGGTCTGTTGTTAGGTCTGTTGTTAGGTCTGTTGTAAGGTCTGTTGTTATGTCTGTTGTTAGGTCTGTTGTTAGGTCTGTTGTTAGGTCTGTTGTTAGGTCTGTTGTTAGGTCTGTTGTTGTGTCTGTTGTTAGGTCTGTTGTTATGTCTGTTGTTAGGTCTGTTGTTATGTCTGTTGTTATGTCTGTTGTTAGGTGTGTTGTTAGGTCTGTTGTTATGTCTGTTGTTATGTCTGTTGTTAAGTCTGTTGTTATGTCTGTTGTTAGGTCTGTTGTTATGTCTGTTGTTAGGTGTGTTGTTATGTCTGTTGTTAGGTCTGTTGTTATGTCTGTTGTTAGGTCTGTTGTTATGTCTGTTGTTAGGTCTGTTGTTAGGTCTGGACAAGGTACAGTGGAGATCACTGTGCTCATCAAGCTGATAAAGCTGTTTTGCTTACTAGTACAAAAACACTCAAGAAGTGCTTGAAACTTCCATGAGTGCTAATCATTGAAAATCTCTGGTTTCAGTGATTGCCTTTCAAACACAGTGAATGTTCGCTTTCTGCTTTTCCCCTCTATCTGTTTCTGTGTATGAAGTCATCTAACTTTGAAAAAAAAAAAATAAGATTAAACAACTCACCTGTTTCAGATTGAACTTGATTCTCTCACTTTCTGCAATGCCCTGTTCTTTCATCTGATCCTTGGCTCGAACCACAGCCACCAACTTTTCCTTGTTGGCCTCTCGCTGTTGTTTCTTGAGCTCCTCCAGCTCCTACACCACAAATACAGACACAAATAGTTTATCATCGTGGTTAAAGTTTTGTGTTTGTTATCAAACTAAACAAACCTCAATGAATTGCTCATGTTTTGGACAACAGCTGGTATCAAGCTATATAAGAGTGAATGTAGTGATAAATCACAAATACTGACGAAAGAAGTCAAAAGTGCTGGCCAGATTCTTCAACCAAACGATGCAGTCCTAAAATTAACCAGTGACTTTCAGAGCAAAGAGACAAATGGATTAACCACATAGCAACATAGGCCTCAACGTTAAAAATAAAATAAGTCCTCATCATCATATAGCAGGTGCTTTACATAACTTCGCTCCCATCACGTTCAGCGTGAAGTAAACTCTGCCTCTTGCCAGCTCTGCCGCCCCGTGTAGCAGGTTCTTTGCAGAATGTCGCTTCCATCATGTTCTGTCTGAAAAAACTTGCTCTCTTTAGCTGGCTCTCCTGCCTCATGTACTTTCATATTGAAAGAGTCACTTATATCCTGTGCCCATCTTTGTGTTGCTCGGCTCCTGCCCCTCCTTCCTTGTATCATACATTTTGCTTTTATTTTGTTTTTCCAGTCCGCCATGAAGCTTAATATGACCACAATATTTCAGCTTCCGAGACAAGATGTTATTTATTATCCAATTTTCCTTTATGTTCGAATAGTTTAGAATGTCAGTATTGCTTTTCTTTTTTGTCTATGGTTTTTGGGAATCTTTCTACGGCATTTCAGCTCAACAGCTTCTATTTTCATTCTAAAGGACTGGGGGCAGGTCCATGACTCACATTCATATGTTGCTACAGGCAAGATGCATGCTCTCGAGATGCTAACCTTGATTTCCTAGCCTACGCACATATTTTACCATCCAGGCTTTGGTTTTTGACTTGATATTCATAATATGCAATTATTATATGAACATAACATGCTTTATTGATGAAATACAAATGCTGTGTGAAAGATGGGAGTTTGAAAGGGATAAATGTAGGACAAGCCTGTGTGCCTAATATGTGACCCTTTGAAAATAAAGTTAGTTTGTTGGTGCTTAACCATGAAATTTTAATGCTGTTTAATCTTGGTAATCGGCTCTGTGGCTCAGTCGATGTGAACGCTTTGTAATGCAGGGATGCCGGGTTTGATCCCAGCTGTGAGCCATTCGCCTTGCGTTAGTTTCGACAGTGGTATCAAAGAAGCCGACCGTCCAGCAAGCAATGGCAAACTACTGGATGTAAATATGCCTAGAAAAACCACACAACAGCCAGAGGCTGTTGGGGTTGGTTCTGCAACGTCCTGTAAAGAATACGCAACTAACCTTTAATCTTGGTAATGCTATGGTAATGCCCTTTTTGACCTGTGTTAAAATGTCTAAAGGATCATAGCCATAGCATTACAATAAAACAAATAGTTCATCATTTTTACAAGCAGATCGCTCGCTGGTATGTCTGTTAAAATTGATGCAATGTCTACTTAGGACATGTGAGTGCCTCTGCTGTTGGAGCATGGATGGAGATTTTCCCTAAGAAAAACTAAGTTATTATATGTTTTATTTTATGTTATTGTATGTCGTCTGCTGATGAAAGCTTTATAGCTAAAATATTGATTTTGTTGCTAATTTTTATAATACTGTGAAGCTGACTAATCCTACTTCTAGTCTTTATAAATTTTGTGTTAAATAATTTTGTGTCGCAATTTACTGGGAAGTGTTAGCTAGCTAGTGTTTTCTCTTGAGCCTAGGGTGGCTCATAGGGCAGAAGTCATAGCTGTCCATGTCTGGCTTTTGGTTGCCACCTGTTTTAGGTCTTGGATGTTTATAAAGCCTATGGCTGAACCGTCCCTGATGATGGTTCTACGCAGTGTCTCTATACTTCTCCGTTTTCTGTTCCCTTCTGGTGTCCATATGGGGCTTGATGGGGGAGTCTGGTCTTATCCAGTCTGAGTGCATGACCAATAAAGTTCCAGCGGCTCTTTCTTATAAAATTGGATAAATTATCTTGCTTCGTCTCTATCTCAACTCGAACAGTATCTCCAAGTGCTTGAGGTTCAGTGCTGCAGATATCATCTGCATCCATTCATCTATCTGGTAGCCATTTTTTTCCCAGCTGGTGACACCAAGTGTTTGAAGGTCTTGATATTATCTCTCCATCATCTTCTTGGTCTGCTGCATGGTCTATGACCAGTCACCTCACTTATACATACAGTTTTTACATCTCTGTCATCTAACATTGTTTCAATATGTCTTAGCCATTTCAGTCCATTAGCCCTCTATGTGGTAGTGATCAATGGTATTTTAAATATATTATAAATGTCTTTGTTGCTTTTCACTCTCCATTTCCCGCTGTCTGCATCTTTGGTGGGTCCAAAAATTTGTTGCAAGACTTTGTTTTTCGAAAATCTGTAAGAAGACACAATCTTTTTTAGTTGTGCTCCAGGTTTCAGAGACACATAAAACAAGTGGAACAGTATAAATGTTCTAATAAACCTAAAATTTTAGATATTTCTATAAAGGCTGTTGAAACATACAGTATAAAGTCAGAATAGGACTCTTTAGGGCATTCATTCTGGCAGGCAGATGGTGATAGACTTGTATGTTTAATTTAAGCATTAGAAACAAAGTAAAACAAGAGTAGAGGGCCCTGTCTACGCCTGTGGCACATCACATGGTAATGCCATACACATACTGTTATAGAGTGATATTGTCACTGTCACACCGGATGCCTTTATTTCCCAGGAAATTACTTAGTACCCAAGTCAGGCATAAGAAATATAATTCTTGTATATTTACACACAAATATGTCACCTTCTTCAGGCCAGTTATCTCCCTCATCAAGTCCCTGTTTGATTGTTTCTCCCTGTCAATGGTTGCCAACAGGTCATTGTTACGTCGTTTTTCTTCTTCTTTCTCTTCCCTAAACTGCAAATCTTTCTCTCGTTCTATTTTCTCCCTCTCTCTTTGTACAGCATCAATGATCTGGAAAAAAGTTAGCAAAAACTGATTCATAGGCACACACAAAATGTATTTTAAACAATATGTTATTCAGCATGTTGTCTCGACAGTGAAATATTGACTTCCAAATAAGTGGAAAACACTATTATAACTTACCAGGAAGATATGGCATAACAAGGGACTAGAAGGCCTGGAATGTGGCTGGCTATTTAATCCCATACAGAGCTTTAAGCTACTAGAAGGCCTGAAATGTGGCTGGCTATTTCATCCTGTAAACAACTTTAAGCCACTAGAAGGCCAGGAATGTGGCTGGCTATTTCATCCTGTAAACAACTTTAAGCCACTAGAAGGCCAGGAATGTGGCTGGCTATTTCATCCTGTAAACAACTTTAAGCCACTAGAAGGCCAGGAATGTGGCTGGCTATTTCATCCTGTAGAGAACTTGAAGACACTAGAAGGCCAGAAATGTGACTGGCTATTTCATCCTGTAGAGAACTTGAAGACACTAGAAGGCCTGAAATGTGACTGGCTATTTCATCGTCTAGAGAACTTTAAGCCACTAGAATGAATTTCCTCCCTACAGAACTTAGGCAATAAAACAAGACTATTAATGAACAATCATGTACAGTCATTGATTTTGGTTGGTTGGTTGCCATATAAAAGGCAGACTGAGAAAACACTGTCACAAAATTTGGCTAATTATTGTTTCAAATCACTTAGCTTTGCAACAGCATACAAAATATTTTTTTTTATACACAACAATTATTGAAACAAAATAATTTGATGTTAATGAGAATTATAGAAACTTGTATATTGAATAGTTTGAGTACAAACAGGACTATATGTAATAAATATCAGCTTCATTAGAATATCAGAAGAAAGAGAAGATGTGGCTCATGATCGCTCACGTCTGCCCCAGACAAGACGCCAGGCAGGTTACCCACTTGTTCATGGAGCTCCATCTGCCGGCTGCTCTCAAGTCTGGTGATGACATCTTCCAGCCTGGCAATCTCTGCATTCTTGGCCTGCAATACAAGTATAACATTGATTTAGGAAGAGGACTTCCTTTTATATCTGATTGTTCTACTTCCGCTTTTTCTGCTCTCCTTTTTTGTGATCTTTTTCTTCCTCTTCTTCAGCTTCTTACTCTTCTACTTCATCTTTTTCTGCTCTTCTCCTTTTTTTTCTGTTCTTCTTCTTTCTCTTTTTCACCTTCATGTTCTTCTGCTTCCTCTTGGTCTCTTTCTGTTCTTCTCTTGTTCTTCTTCTTCCTTTTCTTGCTCTTTCTTGTGTTCTTCTTCTCATTCTCCTGGCATGGAATTTCTTTACATCACTCACTCAGTGGAATATCACTGGCACAGACATGCAACCAGAACACATCAACAAAAACACATGGCTACTTGTATGAGATACAGCGAGTATGAAGGCAACAATGACTTTGACATCTGCGAATATGCTGAAGTGCAGGTAAATGAAAGATGAGACATGCTGACGAATAAGTGAAAATATAAACCAGAAAAAGAATGTACAAGGTGGATCTGCATTGTCAGCACACTCGGCTGCAGGAGGCGGGCAGGTTTCAGAGGCAAGCCCAACTATGTGCATCAGGGAGAAACGTGGTGAAGCATGTCTATTCTGTAAGAAAGGCAATATCGTAATTATAGGAATGCATGTTTGCCGACATTGAGTGTGATAACATAATAAAACATATTGTGATACAATATAACAAAACAGATTATAACAGAAATCATGTCTACCTCTATCTGGTAGGTATGCTTGTCAAGAATGTGCATCAGTCGCTGGTCACTCCTGGCTGCAGCTTCTCGCTTTTCTTCCTCCAGCTGCTTCTTAAGCTCCTCCAGAGCTCTCTGATTCTCCAAGGACATGGATTCCCTCAGCCTGAGCACCGCCGATCCCTATGAATGTTGCAGACGTGCGTTAGCCAAGTGGTGTGCTCTCAAATTCATAGTGTGTTCATTTACTATCACTAATCATGCAAGAATTTGCACATGCTATATAAAGTCAATTTGAAATTTGGCTGTAAATCCTGGAAAAATGAACGGACAATCCAGCAATTTCTGGAGGCCTCTGAAATGCGGTTTTACAAGAGAATCCTAACAATCCCCACAAACTGTCAAAAAATAGCAACATTTATGTTTTGAAAGAGGCGAGGGGAATAGAACCACTGCCACAGACCTGTGAAAGAGTTGACTTATTAGGAACATGTCCTTCAAAATCAGAGTGCATCTCCCTGAGAGGCGAAGAAGCAACAGTCTGCATTCAAAAGAGCCAGATCTGTCAAACTGAGGTGCACGCAAAAATCAGGTTCTAGAACAAGACTAATGTCCAGAAGTGGATGAACCACCAAAAGTTTCTGCTGGAGTTTGCAGCCGCTGAATGCTTGTAAGAAGAAGAACAGAACAGAACAAGGGACTGTGAGCCCTATATGATAAACAATCGCAGAACGGAATGTTGTTGATCCCGGCTACCGGGATTCGGTGAGCACTTACCATAGGGCTCCAAAAACATAGCGGCCCCAGGCGAATCTCTTTATGTCATGTGACTTGATGTGCCATAAATTTAAAAAAATATGTAATGTTTAGAATAATTTATTGTAAAACAATAACAAACAAAAACCAATATAATTTGCACCTTACCTTTTCCCCTAAACCAACAATACTGATGTGCCCAGGGACCCTTAATGCCGTAAAGATGGCCCTGCCAGGGTGAGATCGTAGATAATTCAGGACAAGGAAGAAAAGGAAATACTGTGACAAAACCTACCATTAAGCTAGTTATTCTTTCCTCTTCAACCTGTGGCAGCGCATAGATCAGGGGTCATTGCTCTCCATGTCCAGCCACCTGTTTTAGATCTTGGATGTTTAGTAGGCCCATGGTTGAGCCTTCCCTGATGATGGTTCTACGCAGGATCTCTCTTGGTCTTCTCTGTTTTCTGTTTCCCTTCCCGTGTCCACATGAGGGCTTGATGGGCAAGTCTTGTCTTATCTATGCTGAGTGCATGGCCAATGTAGCTAGGTGAGACGGGATAATTTATCATAGTGACAACTTTAACTGCAAACTCAGCTAGTCTTGAACAAGTCAGCATGGGTTGTCTGAGGGCTTGTTGGTAAGAAGTAGAGACATAGTGGCACAGAGGTGAAATGATTCCTTGATTGTTCTTGCGTAGAGAGGCCAATAGTTAATAATGGGTAAGGAAATAGTGCGGCTTCATGGCCTAGAGCCTGGTAAATACAGATGATAATGTCATGATACTTGAGCAGTAGGGTTCGTTTCCAGCTGTGGCTCAGTTTAAAAGAAATAGTGTGTGGTTTTTGAACAACAGTGTGAGAATGGCACTGTGTCAGAGACTGGGTCATCACCATGTAGGAGATGATGGCATCACCATGTAAAAGACTGGGTCATCACCATGTAAGAGATGATGGCATCACCATGTAAGAGACTGGGTCATCACCATGTAAGAGATGATGACATCACCATGTAAGAGATAATGGCATCACCATGTAAGAGATGATGGCATCACCATGTAAGAGATAATGGCATCACCATGTAAGAGATTATGGCATCACCATGTAAGAGACTGGGACATCACCATGTAAGAGACTGGGTCATCACCATGTAAGAGACTGGGTCATCACCATGTAAGAGACTGGGTCATCACCATGTCAGAGACTGGGTCATCACCATGTAAGAGACTGGGACATCACCATGTAAGAGACTGGGACATCACCATGTAAGAGACTGGGTCATCACCATGTAAGAGACTGGGTCATCACCATGTAAGAGACTGGGTCATCACCATGTAAGAGACTGGGTCATCACCATGTAAGAGACTGGGTCATCACCATGGTAGCATCACCATGTAAGATACTGGTAGCATCACCATGTAAGAGACTGGTAGCATCACCATGTAAGAGACTGGTAGCATCACCATGTAAGAGACTGGTAGCATCACCATGTAAGAGACTGGTAGCATCACCATGTAAGAGACTGGGACATCACCATGTAAGAGACTGGGTCATCACCATGTAAGAGACTGGGACATCACCATGTAAGAGACTGGGACATCACCATGTAAGAGACTGGGTCATCACCATGTAAGAGACTGGGTCATCACCATGTCAGAGACTGGGTCATCACCATGTAAGAGACTGGGTCATCACCATGTAAGAGACTGGGGGGACATCAACATGTAAGAGACTGGGATATCCCCATGTAAGAGACTGGGACATCACCATGTAAGAGACTGGGTCATCACCATGTAAGAGATTATGGCATCACCATGTAAGAGACTGGGTCATCACCATGTAAGAGACTGGGGGGACATCACCATGTAAGAGACTGGGTCATCACCATGTCAGAGATAATGGCATCACCATGTAAGAGATGATGGCATCACCATGTAAGAGATGATGGCATCACCATGTAAGAGATGATGGCATCACCATGTAAGAGATGATGGCATCACCATGTAAGAGATTATGGCATCACCATGTAAGAGATTATGGCATCACCATGTAAGAGACTGGGTCATCACCGTGTAAGAGACTGGGACATCACCATGTAAGAGACTGGGGCATCACCATGTAACAGACTGGGGGGAGACATCACCACGTAAGAGACTGAGGCATCACTGTGTAAGAGACTGGGAGCATCACCATGTAAGAGACTGGGGGGACATCACCATGTAAGAGACTGGGGGGACATCACCATGTAAGAGACGGGGGGGGGGGGACATCACCATGTAAGAGACTGGGGGGCATCACCATGTAAGAGACTGGGGGGACATCACCATGTAAGAGACTGGGGGGACATCACCATGTAAGAGACTGGGGGGACATCACCATGTAAGAGACTGGGGGGACATCACCATGTAAGAGACTGGGGGGACATCACCATGTAAGAGACTGGGGGGACATCACCATGTAAGAGACTGAGGCATCACCATGTAAGAGACTGGGGGGACATCACCATGTAAGAGACTGGGAGCATCACCATGTAAGAGACTGGGAGCATCACCATGTAAGAGACTGGGAGCATCACAATGTAAGAGACTGGTAGCATCACCATGTAAGAGACTGGAAGCATCACCATGTAAGATACTGGGAGCATCACTTTGTAAGAGACTGGTAGCATCACCATGTAAGATACTGGTAGCATCACTTTGTAAGAGACTGGTAGCATCACCATGTAAGATACTGGTAGCATCACCATGTAAGAGACTGGTAGCATCACTTTGTAAGAGACTGGTAGCATCACCATGTAAGATACTGGTAGCATCACCATGTAAGAGACTGGTAGCATCACCTTGTAAGATACTGGGAGCATCACCATGTAAGATACTGGTAGCATCACCATGTAAGATACTGGTAGCATCACCATGTAAGATACTGTGAGCATCACCATGTAAGATACTGGTAGCATCACCATGTAAGATACTGGTAGCATCACCATGTAAGAGACTGGGAGCATCACCATGTAAGAGACTGGGAGCATCACTATGTAAGAGACTGGGAGCATCACTATGTAAGAGACTGGGAGCATCACCATGTAAGAGACTGGGAGCATCACCATGTAAGAGACTGGTAGCATCACCATGTAAGAGACTGGGAGCATCACCATGTAAGAGACTGGGAGCATCACCATGTAAGAGACTGGTAGCATCACCATGTAAGATACTGGTAGCATCACCATGTAAGAGACTGGTAGCATCACCATGTAAGATACTGGTAGCATCACCATGTAAGAGACTGGTAGCATCACCATGTAAGAGACTGGTAGCATCACCATGTAAGATACTGGTAGCATCACCATGTAAGAGACTGGTAGCATCACCATGTAAGAGACTGGTAGCATCACCATGTAAGAGACTGGTAGCATCACCATGTAAGAGACTGGTAGCATCACCATGTAAGATACTGGGAGCATCACTATGTAAGAGACTGGTAGCATCACCATGTAAGAGACTGGGAGCATCACCATGTAAGAGACTGGGAGCATCACCATGTAAGAGACTGGGAGCATCACCATGTAAGAGACTGGGAGCATCACCATGTAAGAGACTGGGAGCATAACCATGTAAGAGACTGGTAGCATCATCATGTAAGATACTGGTAGCATCATCATGTAAGAGACTGGTAGCATCACCATGTAAGAGACTGAGGCATCACTATGTAAGAGACTGGTAGCATCACCATGTAAGAGACTGGGAGCATCACCATGTAAGAGACTGGGAGCATCACCATGTAAGAGACTGGGAGCATCATCATGTAAGAGACTGGTAGCATCATCATGTAAGAGACCTGGGGCATGCAGTAATGCGTGTGCATCTGCTAGTTTGTTGTGACTGCTGTCTCTGTCGAATATGAAAAGCAATTCTGGGACACACTGTAGGTGTTGGCACCTCTGTTGGCTGCCTTGTGCATTTTGCCTATGCAGGTGCAGGTTATTGAACTCTGCCAGGAATGCATCGGTTTAAATTCAGATGGGAAAGTGGTGGGAATTTTGTGTTGTTTTCACTGGCACAGGAATGGAGCAATTATGAGGTGATCCATCTGCGATGAAGTCACAACCCCAACTGACCACTTGATAAGAGGATGGAGAAATATATGGAGCTATGATGACTTTAGTTTGCTTCTACAAAGGTACCTGTATGAGATCAGCAAGGGTGTCAGACCTAGCTTAGTTTCAGTACTGAATACAGCCACCTGCTCACCGTTTCTTTCTTGAGGTTCTCCAAGACTTTCTTCTGCTCGGATGACATCCTTTGCTTCTCTTGCCTTTCCCTGTCAATGATGGCACCCATTTCATTAATCTCTGACCTGTCATTTCAGAAAATTTCATAATATTTAATTTATCAGTTTTGACAAGACATGATGGCAAGCCACATCAGTATGTAATTATTGTTTGTATAGGTGTGACTTGCAGTGGCAGTAGTGGTATTAGTAGTAGTGGTGGTATTAGTAGTAGTTGTTGTAATAGTAGTAGTTGTAATAGTTGTAGTTGCAGTAATTGTAGTAGAACTACTGATAGTAATAGGGGTGGTAGTAGTAGCAAAACTAGTAGTAGTGATAATGATAGTAATAGTGGTGCTAGTAGTAGTAATAGCAACTATTGTTGTTGTTGCTGTTTTAGTGGTAGCATTAACTGTGTGTTGCATTGTTGTAATAGTAGTACAACAGAAGCAATAACGTAAGCAATAACAGTAGTAATGTTTTTGGAATTCACCCCTTCTTCTTATGCCTTTCTTGCTCCCAGTGGAGCATAGGCTCTCAATCAACTCACACCAAGTCTTTCTATCCTTCCCTATTGCTTGCAGCTCTCCTATGCCCTCCCTTTCTTTTAATGTCACTCTCTAGCTCCCTTCTCCGTGTGTTTTTGGTTTGCCTTTCTTTGTATTCCCCTGTGTGTTCCAGTGTAAAGACATTCTAGTTTTACTGTTCTCAGGTTTGCTTAATATGTGTCCTATCCAAAGCCAGAGTCCTTTTCTTCACCTCTTGGTCCACTGGAACCTGTTTGGTTCTCTCCCAAAGCTCTACATTAGTGATTTTTATTTAAACAATTTTCATTTTTCTATTTTAAGAAGATGCAGATTCATGTATTATAGTTATGACTATTTTCTTCTCCTGTAGCATTTCCAGCCCTTGAGGTTCATTACTGCAGATATCACCCACCTCCATTTATCTTTGGGACAGCATTCTCTTTCCAGTTTGGGATACCAAGTGTCTGTGGGTCTGTCTGCATATTATCTCGCCATTGTTTTCTTAGTCTGTCTCATGCTCTGTGACCATTCAACTCCCTTGTGTATACAGTTTTTACCTCTCTGTCATCTGACATTCTCTCAATATACCCTAGCCATTTCAGTCTATTAGCTCTCACGATGCCAGTGATCAATGGTGATTTAAACACATTATGAATTTCCTGTCCTCTGAAAGTACTGGAGAGTTTTGGGAAATGCCATTCTGGTCTCAAGACTCAGTGAAAGGAAAACCCCAACTGCAACTCCACGCAGTAGAGGACGGTAAACACACTGCGGTGTGGCCAACGCAGCTATGGGGACCGAGTATCCGCCGGGTTAAGTGGACACCTCTGGGGTGCCCTCTGCTGTTAGCAGGAGCATCACAGAGCAGGGCACTCACTTGCCCTAGCAATCAAAAAGGTTGCTGAAGGCTGAGGACTTGGTCTAAAGCCATGTGGATGTGGAAAGCAACGGGAAACTACCCCATTACTATCCCAAGAAACTCATTATGGAAGCCATGAATATCTTGGACAAAGAAGATGAGAAATATTGACATCTTAAAAGAACTGAACATCAAGGAAGATTGGCTAATAAATAGCATTCTTTCTCAAAAGCTGAAATATTTTGGTCATATCAAGCGCCATGACGGATTGGAAAAAAATTATAGCAGAAGGAAGGGTACTAGGAAGGAGGGGCAGGGGCCGACCGACACGAAGATGGGAGCAGGATACAAGTGACCCCTTAGGTGTGAAAGTTCATGAGGCGGGAGAACTGGCGAGAGACCGAGTTTCTTTCAGGCAGACTGTGATGAGAGCGACGTTCTGCAAAGGACCTGCTACATGATGATGATGATGAATTTCATTGTTGCTTCTCACTCTCCATTCCCCACTGTCTGCATCATTCATAGGTCCAAAAAATTCGTTGTAAGAAAAATTGTTGTTTTTGAAAATTTGTAATAAGGCTTTAGCTCTTTTAGTTGTGCTATGACTGTTATTACCGTTATTGATTATTATGCAATGTAGACATTTCTCTGACCTCAGTTTATCTGTGAGGCCATCCTTCATGATATTCTCCAGTTGAAGGTTATTCACCTTGGCTTTCAATTCTTGCACTTCCGTGTCAAGGTCAGTCAGCTCTTTCTTGAGACGATTCTGGGACTTCAGGTTCTCTTCCTTTAAGGACACCTTCAGCTCCTCACACTGTTTAGCCTTTTCCTTGGAAACAAAAGATACGTCTTGGACATTAGCATCTGAAACACTTGGGTGTGAAACTCTTTTGGAGTTATGTCTCAACAGCTCAAAAAAGAATATCTTAAAATGTAGTTAATGAAAACAATGGAGAAACATGGAAGATTGTCTGTAGTGTCTGTTTATGTAAACATTTAATAAAAGTATCTAATTAGCATTTATCTTTAGCAGATTTACCAGATTTTTAAAAATCGATACTATAGAATTTTGTTTTAGAGTTTTTAGTTGTTGTTATGCGTCAACCAAGGTAATCCTATATTGGTTTTGTTTGTTCTTCTGTGGAGGATTTTAATTCACTTATTCAGCACACCCACTCGCCCGCCCACAAACATATGCACACACACACACACATACATACACACACACACACACACACACACACATACATACACACATGCACACATGCACACACACACACACATACACACACATACACACACACACACACACACACACACATACATACACACATGCACACACACACACACACATACACACACACACACACACACACACACACACACATACATACACACACACACACACACACACACATACATACACACATGCACACACACACACACACACATACATACACACATGCACACATACACACACACACACACACATACATACACACATGCACACACACACACACACACACACACACACACACACACACACACACACACATACATACACACATACACTGGCTAGGGGTTACATCTTTATTGGTAATATTTTTTTATGTTTCTCTCCAGGATTATATTCTCCAGGATTATATTCTCCAGGATTATATTCTCCAGGATTATATTCTCCAGGATTATATTCTCCAGGATTATATTCTCCAGGATTATATTCTCCAGGATTATATTCTCCAGGATTATATTCTCCAGGATTAGCTGGTCATAGATGTACGTCAGACAGGAGCACATAAACCTAGTTGCCACTGTTGTTGTTGTTGTTGTTGCTGTTGTTTTTGTTCTTCTTCTTCTTGTTCTTCTTCCTCTCATTCTTCTTTTTCTTCTTCTTCTTCTTCTTCTTTGCATTCTCTGGCTGTAAACTCCAGCAAAAAAGTTTTGGTTGTTCGTCCACTTCTGGACTTTAATTTTCTTCCAACTTTGAGTTTTGCATGCACATGCAGTTCCCAGATATGGCTTACTTGTATGCAGAGTTTCGATTCCTTGCCTCTCGGGCGGATGCACTCCAATTTGGAAGGAAAGCACTAATTAGCCGATTCATATGAGACGCTGGTTGGAGAGAAGTTAGCAGTGGGTCTAATGTGCGCCCTGACTCCCCACAATGGGGCCCTGGAACCCATGAGGAGGTTTATAAACCCAGTTCAACTACTTCACACAGTTACATCTGGGCAGCACTGTCTTTACTAAGTAACCTGCATTCTAGTGAGAGAGAGCGAGAGAGAGAGAGATTGGGTGTATGTGTGTTTTTGTGCAGTATAGATGCTCATGCTCTCCAGTGTGTGTGTGTCTCTGTGTGTATGTGTGTGTATGTGTGTGTATATATATATGTGTGTCCGTGTATATATGTGTGTGTGTGTATGTATGTATATAAATATATATATATGTGTGTTTGTGTGTGTGTGTGTTTGTGTGTGTATGTTTTATAGATGACTCCTGTTTTGTCCATTACTTGTGGATACTTTATAGCCAACAAACTCCAACCAAGTGCGAGTTGGGAAAGAAGGAACTGCAATTTAGAAAGGAAAAAAAAATACTACAGATTCTAAGAAATTACTTCCTATTGTGGGTTTCTATGCTCCCGTTTTGGGACAGACCCACTAATTTTTAAGAAGCCTGTCCTAAAAGGTGACTAATTAGGGGTGTTTCCTACAAAGTCAGGGTGGGTCTGTCTGTTGGATGAACAGCCAGAACTGTCCGCTGGCTGGTGAATGCTAGCACGAAGACAAAGAAGAACACATTTAATTAACATCTTAGGAGAAATATGTTTTCAGAAGTGAACTTACCTGCAACAGTTCGTTCTTCTCCTTCTCAATCTTCTTGACTGCAGCTTCCAGCTTCGCCAGCTGAGCTTGGTCTAGGCTCCAGTTACTCTCTGTCTCTTCCAGTTTACCGGCCAGATTATCCATCTCCTGCAAATAAATATGCCTGGCTGAGTCCCAAACAACTATCTGTGAGTAATCAGCCTTTTTCAAGGTGAACCAATCATATTAGCCAGGCTGAGTCCCAAACAAGTATCTGTGAGTGATCAGCCATTTTTGATGTGTCCCAACATATAAGCCATTTTGTGTCTCAAACAAGTATCAGTGAGTGATCAGCCATTTTTGGTGTGTCCCAACATATAAGCCATTTTGTGTCCCAAACAACTATCTGTGAGTGGTCAGCCTTTTTCAGTGTGCATCAAACATATTAGCCAGGTTGTGTCCCAAACAACTATCTGTGAGTGGTCAGCCATTTTTGGTGTGAATCAAAAATATTTGCCATTTTGTGTCTCAAACAACGATCTGTGAGTGATCAGCCTTGTTCTGTGTACACCAAACATCGCTTCGAAGTGATATTAGGCTTTCATGTTTTATGTCAGGTCTGAGCATGATAAATCATCTGGTATATGTATTTTAAAATTCAACAATATATTGCTGAATCATGATTGGTCTATCGACTAAAGGTGTCGCCAAGGGCCTGCTCCTGTCTGCAGCTCGGTCGGGGTGTAGCCAAGGACCTGCTCCTGTCAGGGGAGCTCAGCCGGGGTGTAGCCAAGGACCTGCTCCTGTCAGGGGAGCTCAGCCAGGGTGTAGCCAAGGACCTGCTCCTGTCAGGGGAGCTCAGCCAGGGTGTAGCCAAGGGCCGGCTCCTGTCAGGGGAGCTCAGCCAGGGTGTAGCCAAGGGCCGGCTCCTGTCTGCAGCTCAGCCGGGGTGTAGCCAAGGGCCTGCTCCTGTCTGCAGCTCAGCAGGGGTGTAGCCAAGGGCTGGCTCCTGTCAGGGGAGCTCAGCCGGGGTGTAGCCAAGGGCCGGCTCCTGTCTGCAGCTAGGCCGGGGTGTAGCCAAGGGCTGGCTCCTGTCAGGGGAGCTCAGCCGGGGTGTAGCCAAGGGCCGGCTCCTGTCAGGGGAGCTCAGCCGGGGTGTAGCCAAGGGCCGGCTCCTGTCTTGAGCTAGGCTGGGGTGTAGCCAAGGGCCGGCTCCTGTCTGCAGCTCAGCCGGGGTGTAGCCAAGGGCCGGCTCCTGTCAGGGGAGCTCAGCCAGGGTGTAGCCAAGGGCCGGCTCCTGTCAGGGGAGCTCAGCCAGGGTGTAGCCAAGGGCCGGCTCCTGTCAGGGGAGCTCAGCCAGGGTGTAGCCAAGGGCCGGCTCCTGTCAGGGGAGCTCAGCCAGGGTGTAGCCAAGGGCCGGCTCCTGTCAGGGGAGCTCAGCCAGGGTGTAGCCAAGGGCCGGCTCCTGTCAGGGAAGCTCAGCCAGGGTGTAGCCAAGGGCCGGCTCCTGTCAGGGGAGCTCAGCCAGGGTGTAGCCAAGGGCCGGCTCCTGTCAGGGGAGCTCAGCCAGTGTGTAGCCAAGGGCCGGCTCCTGTCAGGGGAGCTCAGCCAGGGTGTAGCCCTATAGAACCAATGCAGCTGAAGGCATGGAAAAGGTCGTTTACTTTATTTCCATGTTGAAATACATAAGATGTGCACATGTTGAAATACATCAGATGTGCACATGTTGAAATACATCAGATGTGCACATGTTGAAATACATCAGATGTGCACATGTTGAAATACATCAGATGTTCACATGTTGAAATACATCAGATGTGCACATGTTGAAATACATCAGATGTGCACATGTTGAAACACATCAGATGTGCACATGTTGAAATACATCTAATGTGCACATGTTGAAATACATCAGATGTGCACATGTTGAAATACATCAGATGTGCACATGTTGAAATACATCAGATGTGCACATGTTGAAATACATCAGATGTGCACATGTTGAAATACATCAGATGTGCACATGTTGAAACACATCAGATGTGCACATGTTGAAACACATCAGATGTGCACATGTTGAAATACATCAGATGTGCACATGTTGAAATACATCAGATGTGCACATGTTGAAATACATCAGACGTGCACACGTTGAAACACATCAGATGTGCACATGTTGAAATACATCAGATGTGCACATGTTGAAATACATCAGATGTGCACATGTTGAAATACATCAGATGTGCACATGTTGAAATACATCAGATGTGCACATGTTAAAATACATCAGATGTGCACACGTTGAAACACATCAGATGTGCACATGTTGAAATACATCAGATGTGCACATGTTGAAATACAGAAGTGCACATGTTGAAATACATCAGATGTGCACATTTTGAAACACATCAGATGTGCACATGTTGAAACACATCAAATGTGCACATGTTGAAACACATCAGATGTGCACATGTTGAAACACATCAGATGTGCACACATTGAAACACATCAGATGTGCACATGTTGAAACACATCAGATGTGCACATGTTGAAATACATCAGATGTGCACATATTGAAATACATCAGATGTGCACATGTTGAAATACATCAGAAATGCACATGTTGAAATACATCAGAAGTGCACATGTTGAGAAGTAATGCACTCTCTCGTTTTCATTGTTATGGTCACAACCCTGAACAACCAATAAGCAATTTTCTGTAACTATGGTACACAACATGTTCAAATGAAACCAATCTCAGTAGGTAGCCCCCATTGTCTTCGTAACAAGCATGTCATACAAGTCGATAATTTATGATCGAAGCCAGCATGCATCTATCTGAGAGACGAGGAAATAAAAGTCTGCACGCAAATAAGCCAGATCTGTAAAACAGATGTGCAAACAAAACTCAAATTCTGGAAAAAGACTGAAGTCTAGAAGTGGACCAGATCTTTCTGCTAGAGTTTACTGCCAGTGAATGCTAGAAGAAGAATAAGAAGAAAAAGATTTCCACTATGGTCATCATGACTTTAAATTTCAATTGTTTATGGTCTGCCTTGTCATCTTAGTTTATTTCCCATAGTTCAGTTATGTCAGTCACTTGACATCAGAGTTTAAAAAAAAAATGCTTTTTTAGTAGCTGGAAGTAAACCTAAGCAATGTATATTCTGTATTGCCCGTGTATCACTGGTAGAAGAGGCAGAGGCAGATCAAGAGAAATAATGGGGGAAAGTTTGATACAGTGGCATGGAGGAATATCGTCAGTGTAAATTATTCAGAACACTAAAGACTGAGATTGGTCGACAGGCATGAATGCCTTCATGAGATGGCTAACCTGATGATCCATGACCTGATATATCTGAACAATGATAGCAGCTATTACCGCTCCCCCCCCCCCACGTCGCATCACCCCCCCCCCCCACGTCGCATCACCCCCCCCCCCTTTTTTTTCCCCAAGGCACCCTTACAGTTTTTTTTAAAGAAATTCTCATGAATGAAGTAACTATACATGCTTTCAAACACACCCCGCCCCCTTTTTTTCCCAAACACCTTTTGAATTATTTAATCAAAAATACCATAATACATGCACACATAAGCACAGTCTTGCACACTATTGCACATTCTAGCACACTCTTGCAGATTCTTGCACACTCTAGCACACTCTTGCAGATTCTTGCAAACCTTTTGACATGGACATCACGTCACCTCTTGTAACTCCTCCATCCTGGCACGGCCATGCTTCTGTTCACGAAACAAATCTTCTTTGGCCGCTTCCATCTGCCGGACCAACTCATCCCGCTCAAGCTGAAGACCCTCCACATTCCTTAGCTTAGATTTTAAAGATACATTTTCTTCTTTGATTGCTTTGATCTCCAGGCACTGAAATATCCCAAAAAAAAAAAAAAAAATGGCAGACATAGACAACCATTTTTGCAGGTTTTTCTAAATTCAAATCCTCCGCTCTGTTCTGTTATGTACAATATACCCCCACTCTGTTTTATTATTTACAATATTCCCCCACTCTGTTCTATTATTTACAATATTTCCCCACTCTTTGTCTTATTGGCTTAGAAAAACCACAACAGCTAAAAAAAAATGCTGCGGCTGGTTCTGTAATGTCCTGTAAAGAATACACAACTAGCTTTCAACTGTTCTGTGATGTACAATCTGTTAGATATCATGGAGGGGCAGTTACTGACCAGCATGAAGATGGAAACAGGATATAAGTGGCATCTTGGGTGGAACAGTTCATGACGCAGGACAACTAGTTAGAGATCCAGTGTCTTTCAAGCAGATTGTCAGGTGACTGTGATTCAGCAAAGGATCTCTTATATGATGATGGCTGGAATTCAGTCCAACACATTTGACCTTTCTCAACAAAGTTTCTGTTAGGGTTTCTCTTCGATGTCAGTTTAAATGACTTATACAACACTTGTGAAGGTACATTACTAGCCTAGAGCTCAAGCCACCTAGTCTCTAGGTGGTGTGTTCTACCATAACCTGCCTGATACTGACGTGTCTGTAAGCAGCTGTGACATTTTACTACAACTCGGTTGCTTTCTGAGATTGCCTGCAATGTGAATTAAGTACGAACAATGATGAAAGAGGCAACGCATGAAAGTACATGAAAGAATGGAGGGCAGATGGAATGAAAGAAATTACACAGAACACTAACATACAAAACAATACAAAACTAACAAGTAGAAGGATAAATATGAATAAGACAAAAAAATCAAATATGAAAAAGACAGACAGATGTTAGAAACAACTAAAGCACGACAGAAATGACATAAACAAGCATGAATAAGTTATAAAACAATTAAAATCAGCTGACAGTAATAATGATGAAAAAGAGTACAAAAATGAAAGTACGCACATAAAGAATACCGAAGTAAAGAATTCAGAAGCAAAGATACAGGAACAAAGAATACGGAAACAAATAAAAACTGCATAATTATAAAATCTCTCACATCTTCCCTAGTGACCCCTAAACTCCACATATTCTTGGTTTCCTCAGCCTTAACCTGGATTTCTGTTTCAAGGGCAGTCACTTGTGTCTTCCTCCTAGAGACATCATTGTTGAGCCTCCCAAGCTCCTGTGACATGTTGCCCCTCTTGAATTCTAGTGAGAGAAGTTCGCATCTGTGGGTAATCAAAGTATTAGAGCAGTTATAAAATTGGGCCAGATCTGAGCATCAAATAATACTGGCTTTACTTTTCCTTCTATGCTTCATATACTGAAGCACTCAATGAATCCTTCTTTTGCAGAAATGCATAAGCTACATTGTCGAGTTGATCTGTCTGCCAGAAATTCAAAACCAGTCACGTAATTACCACGATAACTTCAAATTTGTCACGTAATCGTTGTGTTTACATAACATAGGAGAGTAGAGTTTTATTGATACAGCCTCAGTCACTTTTAGCAAACATCTAGTCGGTCTGTGGTAAATATGATTCTGTGTCTACTCTTAGAATGTGTCCAGTATAAAGCCATTTTCTCTGTCTCATAACAGTTGATACAAGTGGTTGCTCAGACATTTCTCTGTCTCATAGCTGTAGATACTAGTGGTTGCCCAGACATTTCTCTGTCTCATAACTGTAGATACTAGTGGTTGCTCAGACATTTCTCTGTCTCATAACTGTAGATACTAGTGGTTGCCTAGACATTTCTCTGTCTCATAACTGTAGATACTAGTGGTTGCCCAGACATCTTCTCTGTCTTATAACTGTAGATACTGGTGGTTGCCTAGACATTTCTCTGTCTCATAACTGTAGATACTAGTGGTTGCCCAGACATCTTCTCTGTCTTATAACTGTAGATACTGGTGGTTGTCCAGACATTTCTCTGTCTCATAAGTGTAGATACTAGTGGTTGCCCAGACATCTTCTCTGTCTTATAACTGTTGATACTAGTGGTTGCCCAGACATTACTCTGTCTTATAACTGTTGATACTGGTGGTTGCCCAGACATTACTCTGTCTTATAACTGTTGATACTGGTGGTTGCCCAGACATCTTCTCTGTCTTATAACTGTTGATACTGGTGGATGCCCAGACATCTTCTCTGTCTTATAACTGTAGATACTAGTGGTTGCGCAGACATCTTCTCTGTCTTATAACTGTTGATACTAGTGGTTGCCCAGACATTACTCTGTCTTATAACTGTTGATACTGGTGGTTGCCCAGACATTACTCTGTCTTATAACTGTTGATACTGGTGGTTGCCCAGACATCTTCTCTGTCTTATAACTGTTGATACTGGTGGTTGCCCAGACATCTTCTCTGTCTTATAACTGTAGATACTAGTGGTTGCCCAGACATCTTCTCTGTCTTATAACTGTAGATACTAGTGGTTGTCCAGACATCTTCTCTGTCTTATAACTGTAGATACTAGTGGTTGTCCAGACATCTTCTCTGTCTTATAACTGTAGATACTAGTGGTTGTCCAGACATCTTCTCTGTCTTATAACTGTAGATACTAGTGGTTGCCCAGACATCTTCTCTGTCTCATAACTGTAGATACTAGTGGTTGTCCAGACATCTTCTCTGTCTTATAACTGTAGATACTAGTGGTTGTCCAGACATCTTCTCTGTCTTATAACTGTAGATACTAGTGGTTGCCCAGACATCTTCTATGTCTCATAACTGTAGATACTAGTGGTTGTCCAGACATCTTCTCTGTCTTATAACTGTAGATACTAGTGGTTGTCCAGACATCTTCTCTGTCTCATAACTGTAGATACTAGTGGTTGTCCAGACAACTTCTCTGTCTTATAACTGTTGATGCTAGTGGTTGCCCAGCCATCTTCTCTGTCATATAACTGTTGATACTAGTGGTTGTCCAGACATCTTCTCTTATAACTATTGATACTAGTGGTTGTCCAGACATCTTCTCTTATAACTGTTGATACTAGTGGTTGCCCAGACATTACTCTGTCTTATAACTGTTGATACTGGTGATTGCGCAGACATTTCTCTTATGTCTTCACTCCTGTTCACTTATTCAATTGTATGTTCATCAGTTTTCTCAGGCATTATTTTTAGAAAAAGTTTAATTAACTTTTACTCTATATCTTTAGTGCAGGGGGGAGGGCACCCTTTTCTTTGGTCTGCAGGCCAAATTTAGAGTTTCTAACCTGGTCCCGGGCCATATAGAAAGGAAAAAAAAACATCAATTATAAACATAAATCCCAGATTTTCTTGTAAAATAATTGTTTTTTCTGCTGTACTCTAAGATTGTAATCCCTGGCTATACCTCTGGCCAAACACACTCTCCCACTGAAGCCTTGTATACATTCCTTAATGTGTGTGTCAAAGCCGGTCTTTGCAGATTATATAGTAATTTACATCAGCCTCACAGGCCAGAAAAAAGTTCCAGTTTGGTCTGGAAGCCAAAGTTTGCCCAGCCCTGCTGTAGCTGCTCTTGAGTATCAAAAGTATAGTACAATTAAAATGGGGCACTGAGCGATTACCAAGTAACCCACTGCCCACACTGTGTGATTACCAAGTAACCCACTTCTCACACTGTGTGATTACCAAGTAACCCACTTCTCAAACTGTGCGATTACCAAGTAACCCACTTCTCACACTGTGTGATTACCAAGTAACCCACTGCTCACACTGTGTGATTACCAAGTAACCCACTGCCCACACTGTGTGATTGCCAAGTAACCCACTGCCCACACTGTGTGATTACCAAGTAACCCACTTCTCACACTGTGTGATTACCAAGTAACCCACTTCTCACACTGTGCGATTACCAAGTAACCCACTTCTCACACTGTGTGATTACCAAGTAACCCACTGCCCACACTGTGTGATTACCAAGTAACCCACTGCCCACACTGTGTGATTACCAAGTAACCCACTGCTCACACTGTGTGATTACCAAGTAACCCACTGCTCACACTGTGCAATTACCAAGTAACCCACTGCTCACACTGTGTGATTACCAAGTAACCCACTGCCCACACTGTGTGATTGCCAAGTAACCCACTGCTCACACTGTGCGATTACCAAGTAACCCACTGCTCACACTGTGCGATTACCAAGTAACCCACTGCTCACACTGTGTGATTACCAAGTAACCCACTGCTCACACTGTGCAATTACCAAGTAACCCACTGCTCACACTGTGTGATTACCAAGTAACCCACTGCCCACACTGTGTGATTACCAAGTAACCCACTGCTCACACTGTGCGATTACCAAGTAACCCACTGCTCACACTGTGCGATTACCAAGTAACCCACTGCTCACACTGTGCGATTACCAAGTAACCCACTGCTCACACTGTGCGATTACCAAGTAACCCACTGCTCACACTGTGCGATTACCAAGTAACCCACTGCTCACACTGTGTGATTACCAAGTAACCCACTGCTCACACTGTGTGGGAGGCAGGAAAGAACAAGTGCCAAATACCATATGTGTGAATTATACAAATCTGACCTAATGCGGATGTGAACCCTAGACCTTAGAACTGGCAGGTGGGTGTCTAACCTTCTACACAACTGCAGCTCTTATGTTTACACTTACATGGAGAAATCAACAACAGAAAGACAGGAGTGTATTGTTTACTTACTTGGCCTTGTCTGCCATTTCTCGAGCACTTTTCACTTCTTCCTGAGCTTCTAGAAGTTTCTTTCTCAT